AAGTAATTTAGGTCTCAAACCTTTCAGATCATTTCGTTCTCCTGCGCCTTCTCAACAAACCTTTGGGGTCGCATTCGCAGCCGAATTTAGTGCTGAAATGACCCTTGAAATTTTAAAAAAAACAAGCGGAAAGACTGGTGGTCTGGATTGACTTAAATTTTCGAATAGGTACTGTTTGGATAAAAGCCAATTTTTTTTATTGAAGGACGGACAAAGGAGGGGTATAGAGAAAAAGGATGAAGACTCGTAAACGCATATGCGAGAGGTGCGGAAAACGGCTTACAGATATCGCACTTGATAGTCTGAACTTGGAGTTGGCGTTGCGTCGCGGGTTATAAGATCATCCTCGGCATGCGGTTGTCGTTCCGATGGGTTCACTTAACAATTCGCCTACTGCAACACGGATCAACATTCAGAACGCAGTTGGACTATTGAACCTGTTTCGGTCCGAAATTAGCGCGAACTCAATAGGTCAAGTCAGGGAGAATGCAATGAAAGCGTTTCTGCCCGTTCGGCGTTGTAAAGTTGGGGAACGTCCCCTATATACTTTTTAGGCTATTGTTAGGATCAAAGGCAACCACTGACGTTTCGAGTCTAGAATGAAACAAGCTCATATGCATGCTTTGACGAAGGTTCCTTATGCATCCTCCAGACGATCGTGGACTACCGTTATTCGCTCAAGAAATTTTCGTGTCTAAGAAGTGAACAGGCGGCCTATGTGCGCTCGAGCTGTCATTCACAGGTCCATTTGCCCGATGTCAACGGGAATTAATGTGGTGTATAAAGTAGTTACTGAAATAAAATGAGTAACGAGGGTAGCGAATAATATTAGTTTATAGTTTCATTTATAGTGGAACCTCGGTTACCGAGTTTAATCCGTTACGGCACCGAGCTCGTCATATGAAACATAACCAATCAAACTGCGCCAGTTCACTGATTGGCTGCAGGCGACCGAGGACACGCGTACTGGAAGCAAGGCTCAATGGCGTGCACATACGCACTCGTTAACTGAATGAACGCTCGTCAATAGAAGCAAAATTTATACAAGTAGCTCACTCGTTATCTGAAATGTTCGTAGATGGAGCTGCTCCTTATATCAGGCTCTATTATACCAGCATTTCAAGTAACGGTCGTGTCACGCGCAAAAAGAATTGTTTAAGTAGACGAGCTTCCTTTCAGTTAACGAATTGTCAGTGCATGTGTGTGCCTGCGTCCGCCATTGGCTCTTATTCCTATGGCGTGGGTCCTCGGTCGTCTACCGAGTATTAACTTCAACCAGAATGCATCTGTATAGCTGGTGCCTATTGATTGGACGTCAAGTGTAGCATCTGACATATGACAATTCCGCTTCCAAAGGCATCAACCTTTTGAATCACAAAAGGGGGGCTACAGGGGCATCAAAGTGGGTATTGCTTGGACGGCCCGGACGCGAGTTATCACTCGGGCAATCCTGAGGGTATCAGAACTAAGGGGCCTTGATGGCGACCGGTTCAAGCAGTT